ACTCCCTTGCGTTTAGTCTAGCATTCCATTGAACCTGCTGTCTGTAAGCCATCGACCATCTAAAGGTCAGCTACAGTTTCAGAATTAGCCTTTGATGAGGACTAAGGCAGCGTGTCGCAACTCTAGCGATTCCATCGCTTTCGGAATTGCTCAAGTCGCGAAGTATGAATGTAAGATGGATAGCTGCTGGTTACAAGTTACAGTGCCCTCACCTTTCCATACGATTTCGTTCTCGTTCTTTTCGGATCTCTTCTTCTCGTTGTTGTGCATCTTCTTCCTCGTCTCTGTTCATTTCCGCTTCCTCGTCAGCCAGCAGTTGCTGCAATCTCTCGTCTTCTTGTCGCATCTCCTCATCCAATTTTCTTCTGGTCTCATCAAAACTCATACCAAACTCTGTCTCCATTTCAGTTGGAAGCGGAAATTCCTGGAATATCCACAGTTTTCTCGGTGGTCTGCACAGTTCATTAATATTCTATGTGTTTTCTTTACTCGTGAATTTATAGAACAAGAGGCATAATATCCGCTTTCATCTATCACTTTTTCACGTGTTCTCTAGCGAAGGAACCTCCATTAACCAGGAGAACAGAAGAGCCATGACAGCAGCCATGCCCTCGATTTCCATTTCAATCACCATAGATCTCCCCTGTCAGCTTTCCCTGCTCCCGACCGATGAGGCTGGTTCTCAATAGAACACGTTTATGTTCGGAAATGGAAGAAAACTGCGGGTTTACTGGCCGTCGTGCAAGAATATGAACTAACCACTTCTCCGCCACTTCCGCGAAAGTCACTAATGGAGACCTTAAAGGTGTAAACACTTCAAAAGCTCTAAGTAATACGGCTTCTGGAACTAACACCCCTTTTTAAGATGCGCCAATGCACTGCTACTTTCCACTCAAACCCATTTTGCTTTTCAGAGCCATTCGGTCTGCAAAGTGGGCCTGCGGGTCAGCCGACACTAACAAATCTTGGCTCTGGCAAAGGCTGGTCCGAAAAAGAACCCCGTCCGCTGGAGCAAAAACCGGCACCAGTTGCCACTACCCATTTGGGCGCATGTGTACCATACGATGCTAAAAGTATGTACGGGGGCCGTTCAATGTATTGGAATTGGAATATTTTCTCAGAAAAAGTAATTTTTATGTCATTGCAGTAGGTAACGGCACTCTCTGAGGGTATATACAAAATAGGGAGGGGTATATACAAAATTTCATTCACTCAACTTCAATGCTATTACAGTTATCCTTGGTGAAAGAAGACCAGAATGACCGATGCAACAATGTTGAGAAAATGATTAATGATTAAAAAAAATTGAGAAAAATGAGACGAGTATATAGGAAATTGAGAAGACGTTAGCGGTTAATTTCTGTTCCCCAGCCAAGACCGATTTGGGGAAAACCGTTTTTCGCTGAGCGGGAAAGCTTGAACTGGCTAATTACGCACTGTTTTGGGAGGACAAAAAAAAAATTTTGTCAAAGATTGTGAAAAATTGTTTTCCGAGCTAAACAGATCACGTTACTAAGGTTATGGGAGACTATATTGAAAAAGTAAAATTTTCTCAGAATATTTGGCCTCCCCCCTTCATACGCATACCTATACCGAGATTACATGGAGCTGGAGTTCGCCACTCACAAAATCATGGACGTTTGGGCGCAGTTCGGCTTAGTGGGGGCGTTTTAGTGGTTCTCACAAGCTCCTGTCGATAGCACCTGTGGGAACTCTGTCCAAATATCTTTGGTAGTTTATAAAACGGCAAGATCTTGCTTCTTTCACACTACTCTGTACTAGACATCACAGGTTTCTGTGTAACGTGAATTAACAGTAATTAAGCAAAAAGAAAACTAGTGAAAGTGGGCAAACAATGCCATTCCAAGGGCGCAGCGCCGTTATTTGGAACCAAAAAACTACAAAACTACTAGTCTCACCTGTTCAATGCCGTTTGGATGAGCAGTGGTTTTCGTCGTTGATGGCCTTGTTGTGGTGGTAGTAGTGGTAGTTGTAGTAGTTCTCCTTGTCGTCTTCGGCATTTTATGAACCGTCGGCTTGCTTGTATGACGGATTTTCGCTGATATTTTTGGAGTCGGGTCGGGAGTGCGTAGTTGTGTGGTTGTACGTGTCTGGGGAACTGCAAAGAGCGAACGTCAAAGCATTCTTGACGTTCGCCAAGATACACATAATAACAAGCGAACTCTGAGGATTTCTTCGCTGTAGTTATTTGTACGTTTCTTATTAACGAAAATATATGTCAGTTACAGTCAAATTTTTTTCGTGCTTTCGGAATATTGCACCCCAAATACGTAAAGGTTTCCTTTTGATAAACTCTCAGCCATTCATCTTCTGCAGCAACTGCACCTCTTTTTTGAAGGGAATTCGAGGTGACTTTCTGTTGCCGCGGGGCCAAGACACCGTAGGAAGGACTAGAAAGTGCATATAAGAGTAAAAATTCAAGTATCGAGCAATAACGCGAGACTACAAGACCAAGAAACCCGCTTATGTGGGCGCATATGCAAAATACTTTTTTATGGAATTTGCAGCTTCCGCCTATCGTCTGTCCATAAACCATTGAGCAAGTGGTCTAACCCGGAAGTAGCGAACTAGCCTCTGTCTCCACCTTTATCTGGTCTGTTGGAAAAACTTACATAAACTAAACTGAACAACTAAACAAAGTACAGTGGGGGGCAATGAAAGAATATTGCTCAGGAACATATCAAACTTTCCGACCTCAAAGACATTGAAATTTCCTCAGATCTCGAAAGTTACCGAAAAATTCCAGGAAGCTTCCTGAAAACCAACATCTACTCCCCAAATCGCTAGGAACGAAGCGAATTAAGGGCCCAATCAGTTTCCGTAGATCACCGACCAACTCGCGAAGTGCAATTTCGACCCCGATTCTACCGGATATTCTAAACAGATGAGACCGAAAGTCCAGCACTCCTAGACAAAAGCGGTTGCGATGAATCGAAAACATGCACTCTCGAGTGAGAGGCCAAAGCCTCAAGTATTTGACACCCAAATGGCCTTATTGATTCAAATTTCCATAGTTCCAGATCGACTTCCTACTTAATGAATATCCTCTAAAGGGTTCAGAAAGTGATGACCCACTGATCTCATAACTCCCTGAGTTTTCAAGAAATCAGAAAACACACCAGAATAACAGAATTGATCTTTTTCTCTCTAATCCTCGCACACAAAGCACTGTACTTCCAGTTCCGTGCACCATTTCACTACATTATAGAGAACAGGACCCTCACAGCTCAAGAAGTCCACTACTAAGACTAGAAGTCGCTTTGCCAGTTCAAGGAGAGCTCGTTTTAGCGATTTTTCGGTTCACGCTAAAGTGCGCTGACGCGAAATCTGCTAATAATTTCTAGTTCATTTTTGAGATTAATTTTTTTGAGTTTCTGAATTCAACTGTATTTCAACGTCGATGCTTCAATTGCCTATTAATCGAAGGGAGATGCACTCGAAATCCGTGGGATGAGGTAGGCGTGGGTGCGTATTTCAACTATCCGTGGAGGTGGCCAGGCTTTTGAATTTCACAATCGGGCTTGCGTCTCTATCCAACACAGAAAAAAACGACTTTTGTTTCAAAGTAAAATATCCACGAGCAGCCCTCTCTATACAGAGCTCAAAGGACCACGCCTACTCCGCCTCAGGGATAAGGAGTGTAGAACGTTTTTTCGATTGGTTTTACAACCAATTTGGATGAGTAGCGACTGTAGCTAGCTCGAAGGTGCATGTAGCGATAAGGTATGAGGTGCACCTTTTCCTGTAAAAAGTGAACAGACCGCCACCCGCAGAAGTACCGCCATTCTCATGGAATGAAAGTGTGTGGCAAAGCTGCCAGAAGCTAGTGACATAAAGCCGCTCTGCACTCTCGGTGTGACGGCACCCTTGTGCGGACGGGGCACACCATGTTCCTGGGAAAATCTTTTAAGATACGACCCTACACCTCAAATTCCTCCTTTTAGCCTTAGCCTTCTCAGATTCTACCTATCATCTTCTCGAACTCTCCCAGTTCTCAACTATTTCTCCGAGAGCTATTTTCGAGAAGGAAGGGAATTGGAGGTGACTCTCCGTTGCCGCGGGGCGAAACACGTAGAGGAGTGATAGGTAGTAACTACAAACATCGAATAAGAGTAAAAATCAAGTAAGAACAGTGACGGAGACCAAAGAAGAAATCCGCTATGTGAGGATCATCACTGTTCTTTACTTTTATTTATTTATTTATATTCCACTTTTCCTACGAAAAAGCTGCCATCAGGCGGGAGCTATAGAGCACACAAGAAAAAACGAGGAAAATCAGTGACTGAAAACCATTTTCTCAAGAGCAAATATGCCCTCCCCCCCTCCTACTGTGAACAAATACGGTGCTCGAACCGAAAACTTGTTCCCTATGGTTCACCTTACTTTTTTCCCCAAGCAAATCACTAAGCACTTAGAAAATTCACATGTGAACAACACTAGCCAAATCTTGCTATCGTGGACAAGGTGTCTTTGATACTTGACAAGTGATCGCACATACCTTTTTCTCCGGCTTCCAACTTCTCAGCTATGAAGTCGATTTTTGCTCTGTCCGATTTCCGAAACGCTTCTACAAGTTGTCGACTCGTTTCCGGATCGTTGCAGTCGTCCACGCCACCACACCAACACCGAATGTTCCCTGACGGTTTTCGCACGCACCCTTAATAGGATTTTTTTGAAGTTCTGCCTCTTTTTGCAAAATAGGAAGTGATCCTCGTAAAAGCTGACTTGTTCCCCATAACTTTTACATCCATAAATTTCACCTCGAGATGCATGTATAGGTCTCCTTTTGCGATTCTGTTGAACTTTCGTTTCCGCCTGCACCCCTTTTCAGAGCGTTGCCAAGGGGCCATACAGGTCGAGAATGGTGGGAGTAAAATTTTCGTCATTAATATCAACTGAGTTTCCTGTCCAGCATAAGAAGTTTTGAAGGAATTTAGCAGGAAGTTCGTCGTCCGCTCTTAGTAAAACTAGAAACTGCCACAGCAAATACCCAGTGGTATGCACATTACCGTGGCTGTCATACAAGTGATAGAAAGAAGCAGTTGGGGAGTATGAGTCATAATAGATACAGTCATGATTCCTGCCATGGATAGGGCGTGTAAAAAGGGGAAGGCAACCAGAGCGGCCTTTCCTAAGTGTTTCGGATGACGTCATTGGTGGAAAAGGCTTCCTTGGCTGCGCTCCAGTTCACGTCCCATTACACGCCCTTTTGTTTTGCAGGGATGACAACGGTATGTAG